AGTATAAATATTTTCTAAAAATAGATTCTGATAGTCTCGATATCGTGAATTTTTCGTGAATTTCTCGATATCATGAATGGTTGTTGCAATTGTTCTGACACATGCAGTAGTTGTCTACTTATACGAAGGGAATAACATATCGTATATAGTCAATTATATTTCTGCTCCTAGCAAATATTAGCCAACGGGTACATTGTAGTAATCATTTTACTTTCGGAGATCTAGTAAATATTACTTGAACGGTAGCGCTTCTCTTTTTGTCAGTGTGCCCTTTTCACGATCACGGACGATTTCACCGTGTCGCCTTTATGGCGTTACAAATCGATCCGGGATTCCGGGCGTGCCGCCTGATTTGAGATAATCCCAGCGTCTCTCGACGGATTTGTCGCACGCGCCCCTAAATGGCGCGCGTTCCAGCGTTCTCCTCGGACCACGACCGGTTGTTTCGCCGTTGTTGTTGTTGTTATCGTCGTCGTCGTCGTTATTGCCGTCGACGTCGACGTCGTCGTTGTGCGCGCTGATCCCTGACCGGCGGTCTGCCCGTATGCGTACGTACGTGCTGCGTCCAACGACCGGAGACGAGGAACTGTGCAAAAACTTGAAAAGCCGAGCGCTCGCACGCACTCACGCACGCACGCTGCGGCGGTATTGCGTAACCCCGCGAATCCCGTTGTCCCCCTTCGTCGGGATTGTCCGACTCTCGTTCGTACTGACTGACCGAGTGAGCGCTCGACTACGACCACCGCCGGCCCCGGCAATGCAATCGCCGGTCCCGCGAAAGACAAAGTCATCCGCGGCGCTTTAAGAACGTCGCCACTTTTCCCAGTCCCGGGCCGATTTCAGGGCCCGATATGGCAGTGGCGCGCCGTCCGGATCAATTACAAGCGCGCGGGACGAGCGAGTCGGCCGGGTAGGCGCGCTACGTCCGCGACATACTGATAAATCGGTACGTAAATCGATCGCCGACCTCTCCCTGACACGGTCGCGCGGCGAACGCGTGTCATTCGCGCGATTTCTCTCGCGTCCGGCTCGAGTCGCGAGCGCGAATCGCGCTTTCGCTCGTTTTTGGATTGCGTGAGATACCCACATTTTCGCCTTACGTTATTAATGCTTTCAATTCTATAACGTAGTAGAAGCTATTCAATTCTAATGATATAATTTACTCCTACTTTGATCACGATGGTGTCTTAAATTTCCATTTTCTCCGATTTTAACGCTAAAATAGGTCATTTTGCTGTATACACGGTAAGAAATTTTGCGTCAGAAACGGTCCACCGAGATTTTCGTGTTACCTTAACACGGGAAATATGTTAAAACCAACACAAATATATGTTCGCAAATACATTCGAAATTAATATTTTAACATATTAATTCTAATAGGCCAGTAAGCGGGAAACATTTTGCCTCGGATAATAACTATCGCGTATATATATTATATATAATATATAGTACTACTGTACATGCGCGCATCTGAGACAGCGGAAAGACGGGTTATTCATTATGTTTGCGGCATAAGCGTCCGGGCAGCGATGTGCAGTATCCTATAGATCTTCTAAGTGGGAGTAAATTATCCTTAAGAGCATGTCAAAGCAGCATCGAAATTTCGACTGGGGCCGTTAGCGCGCGAATTGACTACGGCGGAGAGGGTCAAGTGCGGAAACGAATACGTTCCTACGCACTCCGTGTGCCGTCCGTCCGGCGATTCCGTCTGGAAGACGGAAGCGTCATTTGGCGATGGCACCGGCTCACTGACACGTACTTGTATTCCGGCGCGCAGGATGGCACCGTGACCCCTTTCACACAGCCGTGGCGACAGCTTAGAAGATCATCTGGCATGCGAGGAGAGCCGTCTCCAGCGCATTCGGATCGGCACGATCCGTGATCGCCGGCGGGAGATTGCGCGCCGACACCGCCGTTCGTACCCATGTGCGTTTCTCGACTCCCATTATCGTCCGACTCGATATTACGCCGACTGCGACCCACGATTTCGTCAATCCATCCAGATCGCGACAGATCTGCTCCCGATTCTATCAAATGTAACGAGCAATTTATTATCCATCGCTCTACACAAATGTCGCTTGTCTTATTTTAACAAATAATATTTTAAGAATTGACTTTTGAAAATATCTTGCAAAGAAAAGTCCACATAAACGTGTAACTCCGCTTCTTCATCAATTTTCCACCATATCGGACGGTATTGAAAAACAACACCTGGTATATTGATTTATTTGCTGCTACAGAGCAAAATTTGCTGCCTCTCTGAATGATTGTTCTCCTTGCAGTTAGTTAATTGCGCTTAAGGGGAATTTTCCCAGGCCGCATAATAGGTTGATCTATCTATCTGTAGTATCTATAATGTAGCCAGTAGTCCTTGAGGCAACAATAAACGCATTTATCCGTAATCTCACGATAAACTCGCGGTCCGCGGATCCAACGTCCAGCCGCTTTGCGCGAACTTTGCGCGATCCGGTGTTTTGCGCTTTTGCGCGAGAACGCTCGTTACGTCACGTCGAATGATTCATATCGCGTATCACGGAGATATCCGATCATGCGGAAGTCGTACCCGGAACAACGTCATACCCGATATGTGGGTCGTGGACACCTCGAACGATTCGCTCATGTCGATCGGAACGTCTACCGCTACGCGTGTTTTTGGGATTTCGAACCGTTACCGGACGCGGCCGCCCACGTGGTCTCCGATCAGGTGGAGGCCACGTCTCGCATCCTTCCGTACCGGCGATGACGACGAGGAGGATGCGATCGCGTGTGGTGACTCCTTGCTATGCCTCACCTTCCGCTCCGATTCCGCAATACGCACGGGCGCGCTAATCGATCATGACGCAATATACGTAACAACAAACCGGGGAAGCGTGGGAACGCGGATACGGGGAGTTGCGTAGATCCCGTGTTCTCGTAACAGTGCCAACGTAGCACCTATATCTCGCTGTCTCTCTTTCTCTCTCTTTCTCCTCCTCTTTCGCGAGCAACGTTACCGAGGTATGCGGTAACTACACTTTAACAAGGCATGCTTATGCTCAATCTTAAAGAAGAATCGCCCCGACCACGAGCTAGATATCCCCAGTGAATCCGCGCTCGGTCGTCGCGATGGGGTACCGACAAAGGACACATACTTGGCAAGCGCATTCCCCGAAGTCTCGTCCCTACCCTCCGGAGACGGGGAGTTTCGTCGTCGCTAATCGAAAGGGAAGTTTCGCCCGAATACGGAAGCTTAACCGATCGACGCGCGGCGTCGGTCGCCGCGACTCACTCCGTGGCGTCTCTCTCTCTCTCTTTCCCTCTCGAAATTTCCGGAGGGTGCGAGCGGCGAAAGACTGCAAAGCTGTGTCGTAAATTAGTGCTCGATGACCGTGCGAGCGAGACCGTGCGCCTTTCGAAGCAGCGGGTCTTCTCGAGGCAGTTTTATCGTCGGCCGACAGGCGTTTAACTTTACGAGCGGCCACGCCACGTATATACTCTATCTCCTCCTCCTCCTCCTTCTTCTTCTTCTCCTCCTCCTTCTCCTCCTACTCTTCCACCTTCTCGTCGTCGTCGTCGTCTTTCCGCTCCCTTCGCCCTTTCCGCTCGCATCCTCTCCGTCGCTCTCTCAGCTCCATCCTCCTCCCTTCCTCGCCTCGCGCGCCTCTCTTCTAGGCGCAGGCATGCTAATTCACGTGACGCGCGTAACATTAAACCCTGACGTTTAATCCGGTAGAAACGCGCGTGGCTTACACGGGCACCGACCGTCGACCCTTTATATGGTCCGGTCGTATGGAGATTTCTCCGCGGTCGCGCGCGGACGTATCTGGTAATATCCGGCGCGAAAGTACCGCGGGCCTCTATCGTGATAATGCTTCGTTTGTCTCGATAATCCGATTAATTTATATGGATGAGCCGCGGCGCGCCGCGATTCTTCGACGTGTCGGGGTCGAAGGTCGCGGGAGGGCCGCGCGAGCGCCTCGAGAATTCACGAGCGTTCGCGGACGCGAGACTCTCGGACGTCCGATGATATTCGCGTGTGCGATACGCACACGTACGTTTGTAGATCAGTTTAACGAGCGAAGGGCACGCGCTAATTTCTGCGGATGCGTCAGCGAATCCTTAATCCCGTAGTGCGAGTTTCAATAGCATAAGTCAAGCCGAGCCGGCTAGCGCGCTACCGATGTCGAGACGTTTCATCGCGCTACGAAACCCCGCGACAATGTCGCCGTTGTGAATCGCGTTCCCCGAGTCAACGCATGAGGCGAAACTCTACTTTCAAGATCTCCCCCGGCCGAGCGAGAGCGCTCCGACATCGCGAGAGAGAATAGGGATGTCATGATGTCATGAAAGTCATCGATACTAATATTAAAACGGGCATCTGATCAAGAGTATCGAACGAAAACATCGACACCGATATTGGTGTTGAAACTTAAGAGACTTAAAATTAGGGAAAATATCAAAGTGAGAAGTGTTTGTTTTACTTTTAAAGGCATGTCCACGCATAATATGCTTCGGCTGTGACGGCCCTTATTCGGTGACGTCAGAAGCGAGGAATCGCATGCCAGAAATTATTGCCGTGTATATGATATATAAATAAAACAAACACGCACCAAATTTACACTCGTGATCCGCATACTTGTGGAAATCTCCGGACGCTTCCGTTTTACTTCAGCAATCAATAAATAACATAAATTAACGTAACGGAAAACATAGCACAAAATTAACATAACAGCAATAATTAAAAAAAAATGGTAAGTTTAAAAGTAAGTGGCACGTTAATTTTCACGAAGCAAAAATACATGATATCTCGAGGATCGACTGAGTGGAGAAAACGCAAAAATATCGAAACAAAATAATACATGACACGAGTACGAATATCGAAGGAAAATGTCGATGTTAAAATTCCCGGGGAAATATATTGAGAGAAAAATATCGATACCAGTATCATATCGGTGGTGTCGAAAGATTCTTAGGAGAGAATCGCCATTTAATTCGAATCTTCCAATCGTTCTCTGTTACAGTCGTTCTTCGGTCGCACGTACAACAACGCCAATAACATCACGGATTGCAAGAACGGTAACCAATGCGTGATCAACAAGAGGAACCGCACCACCTGCAAGGCCTGTCGCCTGCGGAAATGCCTCGTCGTCGGCATGTCCAAGTCGAGCTCGCGCTACGGCCGCCGCTCGAATTGGTTCAAGATCAACTGCCTCCTGGCGGATAAACACGATCCGAATCTGAGCCTACCGCCGGGCGCCATCGCACCGTACCCGCCGAACTACCTGGTAGACTTCCTCAGACGCACCGAGAGCCACTCGTTCAACAACACCAACAACAACAATAACAGCAACGACAATAGAGCGGACCTGCCGTCGCCCAGCCGGGGCGACTTGGCGCAGCAATTGCAGTCGCGGCTGGCGACTCTGCAGGTCGCGATGATGAATCAAGAACAAGTAGGTCGGCAGTCCGACTCCGACTCCGACGGAGTCACGGAGGAGCCGGTTCCGGGCAGCTCGCGTGCCTGGCGGGACGGCCCGTCGCAACCAGAGGCGGCCGGGGGCGCGGAGGAAGACGCTGCTGCCGGAAGAAACATTCCGCCAGAGGGGAACGCTACCTCGCAGAACGTCGTGCGATTCAGTGCGCCCTCGTCGTTCGGCTTCATGAGTGCACCGAGCGCTTCGATGTCACCGAGACCGAGCACGTCACAGAGCGTTCCTTACACTCTGATGTTGAACGACCTCGAATTCAGCAGAACGTACGGAAACATGTACAGGAGGTCCAACTCGGCGAGTGAGGCCGGCTCCGCGGACGGCAGCTCTAGCGACGGGGATCGCATGCGCGATCATGAGCTCCGCAGTAGCTCCGAGCGACTCAACCGCACCAACTCGCCGTCCTCGTCGGAGGTCTCGCCCAGAAACACGGTCAACGCTACCCTAACCTTCCGAGCGGCTTACCAACGCGGTTTGTGTCAATACATGGGCCTGAACATGGCGTACCCGCCGCGGGATCTCGTCACGCCGACCACCTCGCAGAACAGCCTGGCGGGTGGCGATCGCCTATTAATTAGCCCTAACCCAGGCCGCCTCGCCGACGAACAGGACGAGCCGATGGACTTGAGCGTACGAACTGGCCAAAGTTCCACTGAGCCGGCGAACAATAACGAACAGAGGACGGATGATGAACAGAGGACGTGCACACCGCTCGATTTGAGGGTGAGGTAAGAAGCTGCTGGGACGAGATTGGCGGGATCGATGCAGTAGGTTAAGGACTCAGCGCGTGTCAGAAAGGATATTTGCGTCTGCGGGAATGCATCCTCGTCGGTATGTTCAAGTCGAGCTCGCGCTATGGCCATCGATCGGTTCAAGTTCCACTCTCCTCCCGGCGGAACACACTAAAGACCCGAATCTGACCCTACCGTCTTGCACCGTACCCACCGAACTAACTGGCAGATTTCCTCAGACGTACTCAGAACCACCCGTACAACGACAAAGTGGATCTGCCGTCGCGCAACCGAGACGACCTGGCGCAGTAGTCGCGACTTTGCCGGCCACGATGATGAATCAAGAACAGGTACGTCGACGGTCCGATTTTGCCGAGGATGCAGTCACGGAGGAGCCGATTCCGGGCTCGGATTCCTAGCTCGCGTGGCTGGCGGCACGCCCGTCTCGATCGGAGGCAACCGAAGCCATGGAGGAAGACGACCGTCGCAGAATGTTCCTTATGCTCTGCTGCTGAGCGAGCTCGAATTTAGCGAAACATACACCGGAAGCGCGTACAAGAGATCCGAGCCGGGCGAGACTCCGCGGACGGCAGTTCTAGTGACCGGGGAATTGCGACCTTGAGCTTTGCAGTAGCTCCAAGTGACTCAACCGCGCCAACTCGCCGTCCTCGTCGGAGATTTCGCTCGGAAATACAGTCAACGTTACCCTAAAGTTCTAAATGGCTTACTAATGCGGTTTACGTCAATGCACGGGCCTGAACATGGCGTACTCGCCGCGAGATCTCGTCACGCTGACCATCTCGCAGAATACTCCGGCGATCGTCGCCTTCTGATCAGTCCTAATCCGCGTCGCCGACGAACAGGACTTGCTGACTGGCCAAAGCTCCGAAGTGAGCCGGCGAACAATGACGAACAAGGACGGATGATGAGGACATTGCTCGATTTAAGGGTAAGAAGCTGCTGGGACAAGATGGAGACTGTCGGTGGAATCACAGCTGACGCAGTAAGTTAAGGACTCGGCGCGTGTCAGAGAAGGCATTAACCTTCTTAACTTACGAGCTGTCAGGATTGCGTCCGAATTCGAGATCGCTTAACAGCAAAGTGTAAGAGATGTTTTAAGATGTGCCAACCTCGGCGATCGAGGCGTGCGCTCATGAAGCCGAAAGGCGCATCAAGTTCTCGTGGCGTTCTATGAGGAATAGCCGTTTCCTGATAACCATCTGAAGTAAAGAACGATATGTATCAAAATCGAGATTTCAAGACAAGCAATCAGTATCGCGGAAAAGGCCATAGCACTTCTCGATTCTTCCGGATCTCGGTTTTGCATCTTGATTCTGGTCTGATTTTGTACATAGATTATCCGGATTATCCGGGTGATCAGATGTTCGAAGATTTTGGAGCCCCAATGCGAAGTAGAAATAAGTGAAATAACGGTGAGATAGTAGTTATAATCGAGCGAATGTGTTCACTTTGTTTATAGGCGCGAATGAAATAACGGAAATCTCGAGAGCGCGTATCTGATATGTACGTTATTTATTGGAGAATTGTTTTCATTCTTCATACGCATCTGTTGTTCATCGTTATCGTAATCATAGCGAAGGATTCCGCGCGGACGCGGAATCGTGCGTGCGCGAGGAGAGACTGGGAGAATATCATACGTGCTCGTTTCCGTCAAGGCCGGTTAAACTTCAACCCCGAGTTCGTTTGCCTTTGACTGAGGGAAAAAATTGCACCGAGAGAAATATTCGATCATGTCTGATCGGATAATCCAATTAAATAGTAACATAATCGATGTGTCCGATCATTTTGTCATTTCATCCGATCAAGTTGTGCCTTTATCCGATTAAAGTTTAACCGATGTTGATAGGAACGGGCGTTAGTCGTGTATAGTGAGCTAGATCCGCGAATATACCGGCCAGTAGCGAGAAGTGCCTTAATCTAATATATTTATATAGTTATATCGTCGCGCGCATATACACCGACGCACAAGTATATCGCGACATTAGGCATTACAAAATATCGCGTAGGATTCTTATTGTTATTATTCCGGACGAAACGCGTTAGAGAGCGCGAGCGTGGCGTGGTAGACAGCATACTAGTCTACTATGCTAGAGGTCCCGAGTTTCGATCCCCGGCAGAACCAGAAAATTTTCATACGCTCGTAGCTCCTCTTCGGTGACCCGGCAAACCACCAGGAGTAACCTCATGCCAAGAAAAGCTCCCCTCCAACTCCTCTCTAACTGCCGTTCGGATCCGGCGTTAAACTTAGGTCCCATATGCATTTATACAATCTGTGTGCGCACCATATGCATATGTAAGAGGAGTGTAAGAAGATGTAAGAGGAAGGGAGGTCTTTGTCCCCCAGATTGGGAGTTGGGCGTAGGGCTGACAACCCACCCCGTTAAAACTTATCCTGTTACAAAAATTCTCAGCAAAACTATTGTTGAGAATGGCCCTGGTTCTGAGAAGGAGGACCGTTGCGCCGGTAAAGCAAAGCAAACGCGTTAGAGTTGATTCTTGAAAAAAAAAAAAAGATAAATGATGCTATTTTCGCACAGCTTCAACGACTTCGCAACCATTATAGTCAAAGAACGCGGAGCAATACGTCTCGTGAGCTTACGTCACGACTAAATGATAAAATGCTCCGCGATTGCTCCGCGTTCTTTGACTATAATCGTTGCGAAGTCGTTGAAACTGTACGAAAATAGCATCATTTATCTCTTTGCTATATTTTTTTTCAAGAATCTAACGCGTTTGGTCCGGAATAATAACAATGAGAATCCTACGCGATATTTTGTAATGTCTAATGTCGCGATATACTTGTGCGTCTCGTGAGCTTACGTCACGACTAAATGATAAAATGATCGATGATAAGGATGCTTATACGTACATGTATATAATATATATTTTCTACGGATATTGAGAACAGCGAGCACGAGTGTGGCATAATGAGTAGCGCACTGGTCTACCATGTATTCGATCCCGGAATATAATAGAAGCCAAAATATTTACACTCGTATGTCCTCCCATAGGGCAGTGGCAAACCATCGAGAGAGTATTCTTCGCCTAGTAAAAAACCCCTTTAAAAACGTTGCCGTTCGGAACCTGTAAAATTAAACCGAACGCTGGCCACAGATACTAGAAGAGAAGATTGAAAATCAGTAAACTTTTTTGAAATCATCACTCCCTGTCCGTTTACATCTCGGTGAGCGAGTTCTTTGCCTGATGAAAACAAACTCAAGGAACATTTTAAAATTCTCCTATAAATATATTGATTTTTTCCGATCACAGTAAAAGGATCAGAGGCATGGATTTTTGCCACGCTGGTGCTCTATAATTAATACTTTGGATTCGTATTATCTGCGAGATATTAACACAGCGATAACGGCTACTCAAATCTCACGTTTCAAAAGATACATCCGAGATATATGCATTTGGTATGTTCGGATTTAAATGAGACATTGTTAGGTCAGTAATATGTTAAAAACATCAGTATTCTTTATTGTAAACCAAAAAATTTATAAATAAATGGAGGCGGTGTGCGCAAAATATAAAAAGAAATAAATTTAAATAACTGTTGAATACACATAGCGGATCAACCTTAGTCCTGAAATCCAGCAATAAAGTTCGGCGAAGAGACGTAGCAAATTTAATATAGCGGAACACAATCCCAATTCTGAAACCCAGCGATAAAATCCAGCGACAAACTTGGCAAGCTTAATATAGCGAAACATCCTTAATCCTGAAACCCATCAATGAAGTTCAACGATAAAACGTAGCAAGCTTATTATAACTAATCTCAGTTTTTTAATCTAGCGATATACAAGGTGGTTCAAAATATACAGGCATAATTTCAGAAATGAATTCAAGAAACGAAAATAACGCAAAAAGTTCATGAAAAACGAAGTTAACAAACTTAACAAAAATGAGTGAGAACGTTCATAATTCGGAAATAAAGTCAGACGGGGCAAATGTTTATATGAACTTTTTGTATTATTTTTGTGTAGTGAATTAATTTCTGAAATTATGCCCACGTGTTATGAAACACACCGTATATGAGACGTGGCAACTGAAATTTCCCGAAAAAATTCGACGGAGTTCCAGGGCGATGGAAATAAATGATTGGAAGAAATGGCGAGAATTTTAAATGGACGACAGCATAAACAAAAAAGAGAAGCGACAAGCGAGCTGTCGAGCGGCTCGGAAAAATCGTGCGAGCCAAGTTTGGCGTATCGGGACCATCTATCGGGGAGCAGTGGGTTGATTCAATCGCCGGGGTTCGAGACGACGTGTATCACGATACCCAGGGTACGCGGTATATACAATCGAGGGGACGCGCGTGTGTATGCGCGCGCGCGGTTAATGCGGATAACAAACGAGCGAGACTCGACGCAGTGCGTCAGTCCACCGCGCGACTGGTTACACCGGCTGAGCAATAAGCAATCGCTTAAACCCGTCATGACTCTATGCATGAGTTGGGCAACACCGCCGCGTACAGGACGATTTTAACCGTGCCCGCGACTCCCGCTCGGCGCAAGTGAAATATCGATAGATGAGACGGCTCGCGAGTCGCGATCGTTTCGCGTGCGCAAAAGCGAACTTCCTTTCCCGAGAACGACGCCGGTCTCGGTGGAGACGAACATAAATCTTCCGAAATAGAATATATAAGCGTGACGAGTGATCGACTACCGGCCGCTATTTGCTCCGCTCGTGCCGCGGAAACGGCGTCGACGAGGCGGCCGCGCGACCTCCACCGCTCCGTCGCCTGCGACGTGACGTTTCCCCGAGAACGTTTCCGTCATTTTGAATGATGTTACATCCGCGTCAACAAGAAATAAAATAACAAGCCGGTGTAGTAGTAGGCATCGGTAAGAAGAACAGCGGATCGCGGTCGAATCACGGTGGTTTCGACTTTAACGGAAGACCGGCTTTCTCCGGCTGGAGGAAACCTCGCGAAAGATGCGCGCGTTCGGGGATCTCCCGAAGGGCGACGAGAGATGAACGCATAAAATGTACTGCGGCGAGCATAACGTGCAACGCGCAGAATGTTAACGGCTCTCCTGGGACGCGATAGACAAGCTATCGCGGCGAATCGGCGACAGTTGGCTCGAACGGCTACTCGGTTACGTCGCGGGACCGACGGGCAAGAAGTTGTCGGCTGTTCCCTGCGTGTTTTCTCGTTCTTTCTCCCCGCACGCTCCTTCTACAGCCCGGTTCTCGATTAAGCAAATTAATAACCGGCGAGACAACCGTAATGACGCCTAATTGATCGCGCGAAACGCACCGTTCGAAACCGCCGACCGCGGTGCGCCGTGAGTAATGAGCCGTGTCCTCTGTGTAATAATTAATTTCTAAAAGCGTTGACGGTTTTACAAAGTGGCTCTATCCATTTCGCGTGCAAAAATCGCGCGCTGGCCGACTGAGCACGGCGGGCGCGCGTTGAGAAAAAATATATCGCGCGGAATCTGTAATCTTCGCGAGGCGAGATTTTTATGCTTTGCGTTAATCTTACATATTTCGTCGAATTCGAAGAGGAGAATCTCGAGATGTAACGTTATACACAGGCTGTTGTATCATTTGATGCTAAAAATAGTTGGTTACGTTATCGTTTTCTATCTGTTGAGACGGTACTGTAAAGATGTATTGCTCATAATTCAAAATAATGAAAAATTGTGAGAAAATTACCAATTGATCCATATTTCATTTGAAAATGACGACAAAAGTTTGGCAGTAATTCTGGATTAAAAGTTAATTTCACTTTAAAGGAGGTTATAAGGTGAAATGAGTTTGATAAAAATTCGATGAGATTTACATTGCGTATATATTAAAATATTAATATATAATAATATATAATATATGTAATAAATAAGAAAACAAAGAAATAATATTTTCGTATTAGTAATATTCAAATTAATATTTATTATTTAAGTAGTGACATAAATGTATGGGAACGTAATTTTGCTTGACAAACAATACAATAAATTTATAAATTACCCCCCTTGATACGCCATTAAAAATACGGTATTAATGGGCAATCCTTACAGAATTTGAGATTCAAAAAGAGTGGCAGACAGAAGGTTGGAAGGATAAAAATAGCAGTAGCAATAATACTTTGCATCAATGAAAATTTAATTTTACGTTCGATACAATAATAGTTGTATATCGCGACATGGAGCACGTGTATCGGTGTTATTTAAAACTCTCCCCCTCCCCCCTCCTCAGGCATTTTTGATTTTTAATCGCACTGTCTTTAATATCGTGTTTACCGATACGCGTTCCTTCGATCGAACCATGTCTACGCGAGTGTCAGTGTCAATTTTAGTGCCAGTGCTATGAAGGAACATCCGAAGTGCCACGACGAAGCAACCAGGGAGTCAGGACGGGGGACGCAGGACCTCGGGACGTGAACAGTGTTGCATCGTATTTTGCTAGGTGCGTCAAACAATTTATCATAAAGGATGTGTCCAATTTTAACGGGCATCTGAAGAATTTACTGAGTAATACTCGAGTCGAAATGTAGGCCGACATTCATAGCCTGTCATCGTATAACAAATAATTATAGCTTCATGAATTATGGCGGTTATTCTTCAACGAGTACCTTGTATTTATTTCGTACACAAGAAATATTGATTCAAATAGTCGTATAACGGTCAACATGAATACGAATCTGTAATTCATTATGCTCTCAATCGAAGATTGTAATTAATTTACAGCTATGAATACCGGTCTTTGAATTTAATGGTGGAAGCCAGTGTGATTTATTCATCCGGTAATGCTCATTCAGCTGCGAGTTCAATCTTGTCGACATCTGTCAACATCTCATCTTCATGTTTGTTTGCCATTGTTTCTTATGAACTGAATCCAAATTTAAATCTCTAATAATATGCATCATTATTGGACGAGCAACCGTTATTTTTACACCTTCGCAGCTCTTTTCATCGCTTTAGAATCTTCAAAATTTACTGAAATGCCCGACGCTAATGTAAAAAAGAAAAAAAAGATTGTTATACGAGGGATAGCGCGCGTCCGTATGTTTCCGGTCACTTGGACGCGATCCGTTTCACACGATCCGTTTCAGCGTCATAGACGAACCCAGGAGAAATCGCGTCGCTGGGTGCGACGCGAGGACTATCGTCGGTATCGATAGACCTCGCCGCGAAGTATACGACCGGATCCTTGGCGTGCACGGAGAGCGTTAGGGGTTAACGAGGGCCGATCGTGCGATCGGTCGATCTTTCCCAAGAGCCAAGGCGGCCCAATTAGAAGGCATGTAAAAGCCGGGCGCATAATCAGCAATTTGTATTGTCGAAGGATAAGGGCGCTCACGTTCGTCCTTTCGTTCGTTCGCTTGCTCGCTCGCGGAAAGGATTCTTTTCTCTCTCTCCATCTTGTCCTCTCCCTTCGCCCTCGATCTTTCTCTCTCTTTCTCTTCTTCTCCATCTCTCTTTCTCATTCATCGTCGTCCCCACCTACACCGCTCACCCTCTCTTTCGAAGCCACTTTGCAAAATAACTTCATACACAAGGGGAACAACGTCTGGAACGAAGGAACGGAGAGGTAAGGGCTGCGCAGCGCGCGTTCGTCGACGGTGCTGGCCCGGGAGGAAAGGGAGGAACGATGGACGGGAGGAGGGGGTGGCACCCGATTAAGCTATGCAATCGCCAATTATTGGCAATTTGATCCGGTTATAACTCAATTTAAAGTAATTGGGCCGCGCCGAGCGCTCGCTCCTCCTGAGTCTTTCGTATGTATTAAGACGCCTCACGTACATGCGACTCGCGCGAGCCGGTGTGTGTGTGTGTGTGCGCGCGCATATGTGTACGCGAGTACTTACGGACGAGAGGAGGCAATGTGAAAGGTAAAGGGAGATAGTAAAACAAAGAGAGAGAAAGAGAGAGAGAAGGAAAAAGGGCGAAGAAAGGGCGGGAGAAAGACGTCCCGAGAAGCAACGCTGTAGCGCGGCTCGCGTTTAAGAGACTCTCGGCCCTGAATGCTTTTAGCGCCCTTCGATGATCGTAAATTGCCGATCGGCCAGCGTGAACGCGCACGTATAGACGAAGACCGGCGATACTGAAATCCCCCCGGCCGCGACCGGGTCGGGGGGCTTGATGGACGTACGCACGTATAGACAAATAGGGCGTGATGGAGGAAACGTGATCGCCGTGAATTCCCGTTTATCGCACGCGCGCCTAATTCGAGCGCGGCGCGTCGTTGCGTCGATCACGATTCGCGGCTCGTCTAATTAGTTGGGTCCGACGCGAAGGCGAGCCAGACTACCCGAATCTCGCCGGCATGTTAGCGTCAACGGCGGACAAGCGTGGTAATTTGTAACGTCCGCGTCGCATCACGCCTCTAATCACCACTTTATCTCGTCTCCGTTTTCTTCGGCCCGTCAAACTTCTTTTCTCTTCCCCGTCTTCTCTCGCGTCTCCGCTTTCTTCCTCTTTCCCTCCCTCTCTCTCTCTCTCTCTCTCGCTCGCTCGCTCTCTTGTATCCGGAACCTTTCGTGAGGCAACTGCTCTTGATCGCGTGGGACCGTTACGTCAGTGGCCGGTTCGCATCCGTTGACAAATTTGACAAGACACGCAACCGATCATTCTCAACCGGCGCTAATCGATACAGCGATCGGTTCATTAGGCGGATCGGTTCTCCCTTGTGGCCGGCTGCGAGCGAGCGTGTCGATATTGGCTTTTCGGTCA